CTTCCCTCTCTCCCTCCTTTTCTGACAAACATCTAATCCTCCAATGACAATATTCCAAAAAATAGTGTCCAAACTATGATATTCACAACATTTCACTTCCTCCCTAAGAAGGCTTAGGTTCCGGGGTATTGTTTAATTACTAGTGCATTACTTGATTGTATTATACTCAACTTATTATAGCTTTACAGTGAAATCTTGAATGTATTATTTTTAAAAGAACTCAGTGTTCCACTAACTTTGGCTCCATTAAAAGTATGCAAAAACTAAGTACAAATAAGATGTATTTTCCTCAGAGATCTTTACCTTGAGCAGAGCAGTGAAAACACTCATTTCTGGTCCCCACGGAGTTCACTGGCACCTCCAAGGCCAATAGCTAGGCTCCTCTGAAATCAGTGGGGAGCACTTCTAAGGGCTCTGTGTATTGTGAGTCTGTGTGAGAATTTATCTCAGGCTATGGTTGGAGTAACAGATAGCTTCCACAACTCCAAGTGATCTAAGAGACAAAACAAGGAGAGAAGAAAGGCAGAAGGAGAGAGAGAGAGAGAGAGAGAGAGAGAGAGAGCATAGCATCACTTCAGCTCATTTTATTTTTTTCAAGCATGTCACACACACTCTCTTGTGCTACAATGGGAACGGATATGGACTCCACCTCGTTATGAACAGGTGAAAGGTACTGAAAGAATGTGAGAATGAGGAAAGAAAAATAATATTGTAGTCATTTAGGGGACACTATAACTTATCACATTCTGCCTTCTGACCACCACCATTCATATTTTCTTTTGAACATGCAAAATACTTTGCTTCTCCACAGGCTTCCCAACATTTTATACTATTGTTGCTCAGTGTCAAGATCTAATAATCTAGCTCAGATGCTGAGGTATGGATAAAGCTCTCACATTTGATCCCTTGAGTACAGCTTCTACTATTCTCAAAGATTTTGGGGGGAGAGGGGGTACTGGGAATTGAACTCAGGGCCTTGCACTTGCCAGGCAGGTACTATACCACTGAGCTACACGCTGGCACTCAAAGATGCTGTTATAAGCTTAATTGTGTCTGACTGAGGCACCTATGTCGAAATTCCTTGAAATACAATTATATTTGGAGGAAAAGCCTTCAAGGAGGTGTGTTGATCAGCTTTTTATCACTGGGAAGCAACACCTGATGCCCACACTTTAAAGGAGCAAAAGCTTATTTGGCTCACAGTTTCCCAAGTTTCAGTCCAAGGTCAAGTGGCTACAAGGCAGAAACATCAAGGTGGCCGGTCATGGAAAAGCAAAGCTGCTTCATTTCTAGTAGCTAGAAAGCAGAGCGGTAGTACTGCCGCAGAGAGGAAGAAGCCAGAGACCAGACACAGTACCCAAGGTCAAATCTCCACCCAGACATACCCAGGAGTGTGCTATGGTAATGCTTTTTGGAGGAGCTCACAAGCCAATCAAGCTGATAATCCAGTTGAACTGTCACAGGAGGCGATCAGATTTTAAAGAGGCCAGTAGAGTAGACTGTGATCCAATATGACTATAATCTTATTGAAAAGAAGATAGGGAAGAGCCATTGGTGATGTGAGAGCAAAGGAAAAGTGCAGTACCAGGGCTAGGTGGCCATCTGCAAGACAAGAGAGGCCTCAGGGGAAGCTAGGCCTGCCTTTGACACCTTGATCTCAGTCTTCAGCCTCTAGAACTCTGAGACAATACATTTCTGTGTTTTTAGCCACCTTCTTTGTGGTGCTTTACTTTAAAAGCATTAGCAAACCACTGCAGGTTTGAGTTAAAGAGACAAGTTAGCCTCTCTTCCTCCCTGCCCGTTTTATATTGGTCAGGCAAGAACACAATAACTAAAATATAATTTCTTATTTGAGAAGAAGGAATGCTGGAGGCACACAGTGTAACTGTCCCATAGAGTTTTGAGGCCAGAAAGGTATAGGTCTGTTCTTTGATTAGTGCTTACTTAGTTCCAGTGATTGGAAGGGGCCCACTTAGCTCCTGACTCTGCCCTCTAAGATTCTGGCTCTAAGATTTTCACTCTTGTTTTCTGCAATCATCAGCCTAACCTCAGGTCTTAGCGCTCCACTTTGAATAATGTTTTTAGTGTTCTTTATCTGGAAAGCTAAAATATTTATTTTTGACTTGGAGAAATTTGGTATATGTATATACAATATATAATATATATATATATATAAGTCAACCTCTTTCATTACATCCATTTCTACTTGATTCTTATTATTTTCTAATTACTTTATAAAGATCAGAAAGATCTGAAAGACTGCAATAACTGAACGTTTATTTAATTTTCTTTAAGTGTCATAAATTTTACTCTTTAGAATTTCAGTATTATGCTATGGTACATATTTACCCCTGTATACGTAAAAGTTCTTAGTCTAAAATAATGAGTTTTGCTTTAATTTGGGGGCTTTTTCTGGATATTTTCAACCTCATTTTAATTTTGTATGCTTTGAAATGGTGTATTTTTAATTGATTCTATAATTTAGTATAACAAATTTTCAGAAAAACTAGTATTTTAATCTACAGATTCTCACTTCCTCTTTTTAATCTCTTTTTACTTTTTTATTTTCCTGTGTCTACACATCCTGTGCATTGGTGTTTAATTCTGACTGCTAGATGGAGTCACATCTCGTATGTGCTTGCTTTTCCTAAGTTGTTTTCCTACAGTCACATGTGATTCTCTGAGGAGGTGCATTCTGTACTGTAGTCTTTTTAAGTGATATTTGTGGGTGTTGGTGATCATTGCCTAGTTCTGCTGTTCAATGTGGAGTCAAATGTTGCTATTTGAACATACTCTAGAACGCATTCTGCTATTTCTTCTATGGTTTTCACGTATTAGCTGGGCTAAGGGTTTCTGGCCTTAAATGTATATTTTTAATGCAAAACCAGCAAAGGCCCACAAAACTGGGATAAATTGGCTCCTTTGATGGAAAACATCCACATGTACAATGTCTCTTCATTCACCATTTGGCTAGGCAAATGTAGTTTGTACGGAAAGACACAAAAAGACAAAATATTTTTTAATAGAAATGTTGAATCCTACTCTTGAAGGATACTGGAGAATTAATTTTTATTAACAGTGTATTGGGCTGAGGTTGTAGCTCAGCTGTGCAATGCCTGCCCAGCAAATGTGAGGCACTGGATTCAATTCCTGGTACCAAAAAAGAAAAAGGGAAAAAAAGAGAATAGTGTGATTATCTCACCTGACTAATACACTTTCTTTTTTAAAAAAAATGTGGCTCCTCTTATCCATGTTTTCACTTTCCATGATTTCAGTTTCCTATAGTCAACTATATTCCAGAAACATCAAACACAAAACTTCAGAAATAAATAAAACTCCTAAATTTTAAATTACATGCTATTCTGGGAAGCATGATGAAGTCTCACCTTGTGGTACAGTCTCTCCCAGGAGGTGAATCATCCCTGTTTCCGGAGCATTCCCACAGTGTGTACCAGTGCCTGCTGGTCACTTAGTGGCCATCTCAGAAATCATATCTTCTGCGACATCACTGTGTTCATATTCGAGTAACCTTTATTTTAAATAATAATGGTCCAAATCATAAGAGCAGCGATGTTGGTATTTCAGTTATGCCAAAGAGGAGCCATAAAGTGCTTTCTTTAAGCACAAGAGCACAGCAAGGCATTTCAAGAACAAGGAGCAGAGAGAAAATATTCATATAATGTTTATTGTGGTACATTGTTGTAATTGTTCCATCTTATCATTTATACTTGTTAATCTCTAACTTATAATTTAAAGTTTATCATAGGTATGTATAACTATAAAACAACAGTATACACAGGATTTGCTACTGTCCATGGTTTCAGAAATCCACCGGTGGGCTTGGAAAATATCTCCCACAGATAACAAGGGACTTCATAGAGTATTTAGTTTGATTACATATAATTTAATAGTGGGCATTTTTAAATAACATTCAATGAGCTCTCTTTGGTATAAATAAGCTAACTAGTAATAGCACCATGAAACATAGACTCTGCAGTAACAAACTGGAAGGGAAACTCAAAACAAATGACAAGAAGTTCAATAGTGTTAAAACCAAATTACTATCCAATTTAAAGAGATATGAAGTGTTGTAAACAGCTGAAAGTTCTCTTATTTAGTACCACATTATCACTGGCATGAAAAAAGCTGGAGAATAAACTGGTTGATTAAGGAGATTCCTAAAAACTTGATCACTAAAGTTGTATCTTTCCTAAAATAGGCAAATAGTTGCTTAATGATATTTGGTTATGGCAAATGCCACTGAATCTTTACTGAATTGAAAAAAAAAAGAGTTAGAAACAAATGCTGAGAACCTCTGTTAAAAGTGCTATGATGCTTATAGAAGGTCAGATAGAAGAATATGTTTTGCCAGTGAGGAGATTTTAATGCTATATTGGTTTGGATATTGAAAAGAGGATATCTTTAGGTATAATAAAATAGTATACAATTCTATGTTGAATGTATAGTAAGCCTGCAAATATACAGAATTTCCTGCTTTTCCATGATGGTCAGCTATGTGCCCACCTCCAACACATTCCTTCAGATAAAGCACCCAACATGAAAATTAGTGAGTGTACCATAATATTTGTTGCAGTTGTAATCACTGAGCTTCATTAGTCTTCAAAAAGCCAAGAATTATACATTAGTAGATTGTAATGCCTGAATATATCATACTAATATTACTCTAAAGCCTATTTTTCTCAAACTATTTATACGCCATCATCCCTCCATATCCACAGGGGATTTATTAGTTTCAGGACCCATCCTTCCACACAAATACCAAGTGCATGCCCATGTAGCTTATATAAACTGATATAGTTTTTGCATATAAATTATGCACATTCTACTGTACACTTTAAATCACTGCTTGATTTCTTATATTACCTAATACAATGTAAATGCTCTGCAAATAATCATAACATTATTTAAGGAATAATGACCAAAAACATCTGCATATATTCAATATACTCACTAATTTTAAAAAATATTTTGATCTGCAGTTGTTTGTATCCATGGCTCCAGAACCTATGGACCCAGTGGGCAGACTGTATTCCTAAATTTCAAAGAATTCTTCTTTTCCAATTTATGCAGAAGTCATTTTAAGGTATGGTTTCTTCCTAAGATATTACTTATCCTGGTGAAAAGTTACACTTCTAGAGAATTTGATTAACCCATATTGTTTTGTGTGTTCCTGTCTTTTTTTTTTTTTGCTTAAATTCTTTTTTTTTGGTACATTTTAGGTATATAATATGTTTACATTTATCATTCAGTGCTTGTACCTGTACATGATGCATCTTGGTTCTTATTTTTTCCCCATTACCTGGCCTCCCTTCACCCCTTCCACCCTTCCCTATTTACAAAGACTTTGTTTCCATTTTTTCCTTTTTTCATAAGATTTCCTTTTCCCTTCCCCTCCTACTTCCCCTACCCCTTTGGACCTTTTCTTCTTATTTCAAATTATCAATTATTCATTTTAATCATTTTAATCCTTATTTACACTTTCAGTTTCTCACACTAGAGAAACTATTCAGTATTTACATGTGTGTCCTATTTATTTCACTTAAGAGTATGGCCTCAATATGCATCCATTTAGCTATAAATGACTCTAGTTTCTCTTTCTTTATGGCTGAGTAGTACTCCATTTTATAAAAAACCACATCTTCTTTATCCAGTTTCCAGTTGATGGGCACTTGGGGTATTTCCAAGCTTTAGCTATTACAAAATGTGCTGCTATAAACATGGGTGCACATATATTACTGTGGTATGATTCTTTTACTTCTTTTGGGAAGATACCCAGCAGGGGAATAGCTGGGCCAAATGGGACCCCTAGTCCTATTTATCAGTACCAAGTAAAGATGTTGAAAATTTTTGTAAACGTTTTTATGCATCAGTTATTGCCCAATATGTTTTCAACCTGAAGGACAAAACAAACAAACACAATGACTTTTTCTTATTTTTATTTTCTTTCTGTTCTATCTGTAGAAAGAAACTGATATTTTCTCATTTTGCTTTACTAGTAAGATTAGTAAGATTGAATCATGTACCCAGAAAAATTTTATCTAAAACAGGTTTAAGGATTTTATTGCTAAGCACATCACCTTACATATTGTGAAACTAAGATCCCAAATGATAGACTTGTCAAATTAACTGTTAAGAGTAAATAAAAGTAGATAATTAGCTTAAGACTAGAAAGTAATTTACAAAACAGAGTTGGACTAATGTGTCCCTGTTTTAATTGAATTTCTAGGAAGGCAACTTTTACTGCTTTCTTAATATTCTGAGCACCCCTACAGAGAAGAGAGGCGCCTGCCTAGGATCACAGCTATTCAAAACACCCCAAATCCTACTGATTGCATTTATTCTTTCTATTTGTATAAATGCCCACAACCCAAAATAAGGTAGCTATCAAACATATTTTCAGACACAGTAGACATTCTCTTGCCTACCCTCACAATATTTATACTTCTAAGAAAACCTGTGATAAGAGCAGGCCTTTTAACATCATCCTTATAGAATGGTGCACTGCAAATAGGCAGGAATATTTCAATTCTTTTATTATTCCAAGAAAGGAAAACTCATCAATATCCTGAAAAGTAAGAATGTTACTTTGATAAGTAATTTATCTCAATATTTTATTCTAATGAAATATGATAAGCTAGTTTGGGCTTTATGTAGTATGAACTACAAGTCATACCCTGAACGAGTGTATGAGTGCATAGCCAGTCTCTTGTGTGTGCCTGTGTGTATGAGCTTGCCTGAGATCTTTGACCCTGCTGTATAATAATACACTGAGTCCAGAAACAATCACTTTTCACTTATACAAGGTCAAGTTCAACCACAAAAGCTATATGCAGTAGAGTAACAGGAATGATCTTTAAATAGAATGGTAAACAGATGAATAATTAGTAAACGAAGACTGGATGCCATCTGGGTACGCAGGATGATGGATATATTTTTCAACCACAAATCACATGCTTCTAGTGTTTGGTATTTTTACTGGTCTCAGAAGAAACCTATAATGCTTCAGAAGTACTGACTGAGAGCATGTACTGGGCTCCCTGGTGAGGAAAACATATGAGCCCTCAGCAGGGAGTCTGCTTATCCAGCAAGGGCAGTCCAATAACTGCTCTCTGGGTATTCTCCAGAGCAGGGCTCTGCCTTTCAGAAAGCTGGTCCTTATACATCTCTGAAAGCTTAGCCTGCCTTCTCTGCCTTCCTGGTGAGGTAATATTCAGTTCGCTTTCATTAGTTATTATTAAAGAAGGCTTTGACTTTCCCCCCTCAAAGCTTTAAAAGTTACAGACAAAAAAAAAAAAAAATTACAGACAATTCTTTATCTCCGGAGCAAACAGTCACAGATATACATTTTACTAAAAATTGTTATTGATTCTTCCCAAACTAAACAGTGGCTGAGCTACGTTTACATTAAATTCCATCAAAACTATTGGCAATATCATCACACCATGCCTGGAATACTCAATAGAATATTAGTGATGATATTTTCATACAAAGTTCAGGCTAGTTATTTATTTCTTTACTGGATTGAGATCATATTTTCCATACTTTGTATCAGTAACAAATTTTGCCTGTAGCAGCTCAACCCAGGAATAAGCTGTGATATTTGTGGTTTAGAGGCAAAATGTCCCCCAAAAGGCTCATATATTTAGAGGTGGAAATGTTTCAAGGTGATGGGTCCGTGGGGGTCTTAATCCACTGGTTCGTTCAGAGCTGACTGTGCTGTTACCAGGTGGGGCCCATTTGAAAAAGGCAGATAACAGGGGGGTGGGGGGTGACTTGGAAGGAGTCATACCTGCATCATTCTCCTCTACTCTCTTTCTGCTTCTTGTATGCCATGGAAAGAGCTGAGGTTCTCTACCCAGGTCATTCTACCATGCTCTTTCTGCCTTGGAGCCAGCTGAATATGAATTGAAATCTCTAAAAACTGTGAGCCAAAATAAACTTCTCCTCCTTTAAGTTGTGGATATTGATTATTTTGTCCCAGCAGTGGGAAAGTGACTAAGACAGATTTTGGTATCAGAGAAGTGAAATTGTTGCTGTGACTGTATCTGACCATGTGATTTAGAAGTCTTGGGAACTTAGCTGCAGTGGAGTTTTTTTCACCCATTAAGTTTATTGATGCATTTTAGTTATACAATTCAGTTACATTCATCATTGGGAAGAGTTTTTAAAAACTTGGAGAAACAGACTGGAGAAATTTTAGAATGTTGTGAGCTGGTCTTGACATATGATACTGTTCAGAATTCAGAAGATCAAACTATTCATAAGAATGTGGACAGTAAACTCCAGGCTTGGGAGGTTTCAACTGGGACCAAGAACTCCATTGGCAATTAGACTAAAGACCATTTTTTTCTGCATTTTGTTCATGTCTTGAGATTTTTCTGGGCAACTGAGATTAAGGGTGATAGACTAAATCTTTTGGTGGAGAAAATTTCCAGGCATCTCAATGTTTTGATTGTGTGCTGGCTACTTTTACCCAGATTTACAGTGAGAATCAACACTAAACCTTAGAGTCAAAAACATATAAAACATTTCCAGTTATGTTAGAAAGAAAACACCTGTAACATCGGGGCAAACTGGAGAATCGTTAGTACGAAGATTAGCATCGACACGTTCCTGTCAGTTTGGACCACCAGTGGTATATTCATGACTGTCACATTGGGTGGCTTATACTAGCCAATGAGACTTTCCCATGCCACCCAATGGGATGGTCAGGCACATACTATGGGATGAAACATAAGAAACATGGCCTTGTCATGAACATGTTAAAGTCTAGTACTTCGCATCAGAACAAGAGGAAAGATGGCTTGAAGGCATCTCACAAATCAGCAAGACATACCCTTTGCAAGCTCAAGCATACAAAACTGTAAAGTTGTCATTTGACAAGACAGCCACAGGATGCCCTGCTCATTATGGACTACAGAGAAAACCTCCCCCCCCCCCCGTTCAGCCATCTGAGCACTCAAGGAGGCTTGATTTTTGCTCAAGCAAGAACCAGACCTTGGCGTCATCCGCGTGATGCTGGTTTCATAGGCATACAGAGTGCGTGGGTTACAGGGCCATGGAAGCCTCTGGCCCAGTGTCAGGAGACAGTGTCCCTTAGATAAGACAGTGGTGTGTGAAACTGCAAGGATGAAGGTGAAAGAGCACTGCAGACTCGAGAAAGTTGGGGATGCCAGGAATGTGGAACCTGTGCTGCTGTAAGCTTCAGGCAGTGAGCAGAACCAACCCAAAAGAGAGTCCATGAGAACTGCAGTGAAGATCGCTGTAGGGAAGGGGCTGCTCAAGGGCTTTGAAGTTTACATCTCACCACGAATTGCCTCAAGCTGGTGCTGGACATGGAATACGGGATTTGATGTTTGCCCTGCTGAATTACTTTCTTGCTTTGGTCCATTCCTTTCTATCCCTCTCTTCCTTCTTTCTGGAATGTGAATGTTTGCCCCATGCCATTGTAACTTTCTTTTTGGTTTTTTACTGGCACTCACCGCTAAAAATTCGCTTTGAGGATCAGAAGATGCTTTGAGTTGGACTTTTCAGCACTGAGGAAACTGTTAAAAAACTTTGGTTACTCTTGGATATGGACTAAAGGCACTTTGCATCCTTGGGGTCCAGGAAAGACTGTTTTGGTTCAGATCTAACATATCCCCATAAAGGTTCATGTGTTTAGAATTAGAAGCTTTGGAAAATGATGTGATCATAAGGTTGCTAGACTCACCCTAAGTTCAGAACTGAATGACCTGTTAGGTGATGAGGCCTGGTTAGAAGAGGTGAGTCATGGTGGTGTGACTTGGAAGAACGGATTCTTCCCAGCTCCTCCTTTATCTGTCTATTTCCTGGCTGCTGTGATGTGAGAAGCTTTCCTGTTTTCGGCCCTTTCATCATGCCATTTCTTCCTTGGATCCGAGACAATGGGCTAGAGCCATGGGCCAAAATAAACTTTTTCTCCTTTAAATTACGGGTGTCAGGTATTTTGTCCCAGTGAGGAGAAAGTGACTTATATACCTGGTAACCTAGGGGCAACACTTGTAAACTGAGAATTGACATTACTACCTCTTCTAGTATATTGGTTTTCTATTGATGTGTAAC